GCTGTGCTTGCATATCAACTCTAGCCACGGCTGGAGAACCCAGGCATGAAAGGAAGGGGTAAGGAGGAAGTCTTCCAGCTCCTTCCTATGGTCCTTAAAGGAAAGAGGAAGGAACTCACACGTGTTTTGCACCTACGGTGAACCTGTTTGGATGCTGCTTTTGGTCCCTGAGCAAGCTTTGGAGTCTCTATGGGCCTCTCCGCCACTACTTCGCAAAAACGCACAGGGACTGCAAGAGCCCTTGGAGCCTTTTGCCACTCGTGTGCTCTGAGCCTGCCCTGGTGATCTACCTTATTCGGTTGAAGGTCCCCAAAGCAAATGGCAACTCTGGGTCCTCTTGGGAAAAGGGGCTCTCTTCTCTGGTCTGCCTCCCTGCTTCTCAGCCTGAGTGTGCCTAGCGCTTCCTTATGCCCAAATCCCAGGAAGGCTGACTCCAGATGGCGGAGCAAGGCCTGAGTCTCCCTCAAGTTCAGGTTGGGGAGCGGGGAGGGCACTGGATGTCCTGGCTCTGAGTAGCCTTTAATCTTAGCTCTTCACACCTTCCTGGGCATTATACTGGCACCTGAGGGGGTGTAGTAATTAAGCTTCCTGTTTTTCTTTGCCTTTAGTAGGAGTATTCTCTCATACCCAACAGTTATTTCTTTTTAGAACTTTTATTCTCTTACCTGGTTTGGTTCAGAACACTTCAGAAGATGATCTCTAACAAACGTTAACAAAAATATGGTAAAGGCTGTAATGAGAGGCTATGTAACTCTAAGGGAGTAAGTTTAATTCCACTTTAAAGCCTCTTCATACACTTGCATTTATAAATGCATTTGGAGTATGACCTTCTTCCTAAAGTACCCTCTCCAGCAAGGAGGTGAAGCAGTGGTCAAGTCTATTCCATTTAAGGCAGATTCTCAATATCCATTTCACTCTTCAAAATAACATGTCATCCTTTTACTGCCCAGGATCTGGCCTATATGATCCTTGACTACAATTTGTAGCAGACTCACTTCCCAAAACTGCTGGCTACATCTTCTGTAAAGACTGACACACCATCTTTGCTTTAAAAAATAAAAAAGCCCCCTAATAAAACTCTCGGATACTTCCATTTAGGATGAAGAGCGCCAAAATGGAAGGAAGTTTCTTATTTTCAACCAGTAGAGAACTTACTTACTTTTGCAGTAACTTTTAAGAGAAATACTTTGTTCAGTAGTTTAATAGTCAATAGCTAACCCAAGAGTCTCAGTTCTGATTCTGCCTTCTTGTATTTGGGTGGCTCTGAACAAATGACAATACTTTAGTATTTGAATTTCTCATCTTTAAGAGATGGATAGTATTTCATGGACCCAAAGAATAACCAGTCAAAATCTTAATTTATCATAAAAATTGTTAAAATGTTTCATGGTAAGTATAACCTTTTGGGGAGGCAATTTGTCAGAATCTGCCAAAAATTTTAACATTTTTATTTATTTGTCAAAGAGAGAAAGAGAGAGAGAGAAAGAGAGAGAGTTTGCACGCACAAGCAGGGGGAGCGGCAGGCAGAGGGAAAAGCACGCCCCCGCTGAGCAGGGAGCCCGATGTGGGACTCGATCCCAGGACCCTGGGATCATGACCTGAGCTGAAGACAGACGCTTAACTGACTGAGCCACACAGGCGTCCCCTGCCAAAGATCTTAAACACAACTATCTTTCGAGTCAACAATTCTACTAGAGGTGTCTACAGACTTACCTATGCCTACACAGATGCTCACTGCAGTACTGTTAGAAACAGCAAAAACTAGGAAACGTGAATGACCCTCAATAATGATCAAATAGATTATGGGGCATCATACTATGCGATGTCACTCCTATGTCTGAATTGTGTGACTCAGGAGAAAAAAAAAATAAGTACATCATAAACATTTAAAAGGATCTCTTTAGTCCCCTCCTTCACTGATTTTCTGGCCACTGCCGACCATACTGGGCTTTCAGCTTCCATACTGGGCCCCTGCCGACCATTCCTCATGCCACCATTTAAAGGTCTATCGTGATTCCTCATGTCATTCCAGATCTCTGTTAGTACTTCCTCTTTTTCAGTGGGTGACCAATAAATTCAACTTACATAGAAGGTCCAAACCAATGGACATGCCTAAAGACCTAAGCGATTCCACTTCACCCTGGTCGGTATGATCTCCTTCAGACTGGGATATGGGCATTATATATTTGGCATGGCATATATTTCTACACCACGGTGCATGGTTAAACAGCAGCATTCCTATAACAGAGCAACATCTTTGCCTCTTAACTCCAGGGCGCAACTTGGCTTAGAACCAGGGAATTTCCCAAGCTGTGGCAAGTGTTAGCACTACTGTTCAGTCTTTGCTATTAGAAGACAAGGGAATGAACCAGCCTACATCTTTTGTTGCATAGGTATCCAAACCATTTGCTGGCTTTTGTGTAGTTTCAAAAGGCAGTTCAGATCACTTGAAAACGAAACAAAACAAAACAAAAACAAAAAATATGAAAAAAGCTCTAACTTACCACAACCTCTTATTAATAAAGTACCCTAATAACTAGCCAATGGTTCACACTTGAGTAACAGGTAATGCCAAGACGTAGGCCGCATTTGATTTATGTGCCATTTGTAATGATACCATCATATGCAAAAAGTGCCTGGCCGGCACTGAAAAAGAGCTATTTCAGCCGTTTCAGAGGTGTGTTGTACCAAGCTGACCTATATCTGAACTTTCATCATAGATTATGTGATGCCAAGGAAAGGAGTTGGCCACATTTTTCATTCAAAAAACCGCTATTTTGTCTCTCCAGTATAGTTTTCAATATAGCTAGTTGCTACCCTAACATCTGGGCAGTACTTCTAATTCTCTAGGCAGTGAGGGTAGGATCTGTCAAATGGCACTGTCACACAAATTATTTTTTTCATCTCTGTGGCACACAGGACACAAAGATTTCCTTTTTCAGATTTCACTCTAAGAAAATTAATAAACATGGCAAGTATTAACACCTTGACAGATGACCACAATGACAGCAACTAGCCTGCCGTAGTGCCCTACCTTCACACGGGGGAAGTTACGGAACAGAGATGAATTTAGTTAGGTTTTAATCCATACGGACTTTTGGAGTGCCCCAAATTTAATACTAAAATTTATATTGGTTTTCCTATTAAGAACATCTTCATACCCATAGTGCTGTTAACTATCTAAACATTAAAACTGTTCCTACACGTTAACTTTACAACAAATCATCCCAATTATACCAAGGCCTTACACTAAAATACCTAAAATCTCAAGCCCTAGGGATACTGCTGAGACACTAAACACAACTGTATTAGCTCCACCAGATTGAAGAGTTTTTGTCTTTTTTCTGTCAAGATCTGAAGCCAGTTAACAAAAAGTTTTTGTTCCCATTCTTGACATCTTAAGAAACTGGTAGTTGTCATGACACACCCACTAAAGTTACAAGAGTTTCCTTGAGGCAGAATTCACTTTTAATTGGATCACTTACCAGCAACAGATGTTGACAGTGGTCATGCTATAGCTGTAAGCAGAAACATCCATGTAAGGATACTAACTTGTTCCTGTTGACTAAAAACTTCTATGAATTTTCATAATCACAGCCTGAGGTCCTCCATCTAACTTAGAAAACTGGTAAATTTAGATTTATAATCACTTTAACTGCATGTGCCTTGCTTTGAAAAACTATCTTGTTTAACCCAACATTCTGAAAGTAAACTTAATTTTTTTGCATTTATATATACAGCACCTCCTGAGAACACTGACAAAAACTTGTTTTTATCAGATCATGAACCTATTTATAAACATAAATATTTTTAAAGGGAAAAACTTTGCCAGACCTTATACTTGTTTAAATGGTGCTGCTAAGAGTTACTACTGGAAAGATTAAAATATGTATATAACAAAATCTTAAAATCTTAAGTGAAAGCCATTTAACTAATATTTAAAACCTCTGCAATTATTAGTTTATTAGTATCATCCAGGACTCAGATGTTCAGTACTCCTCCTGAAATTACATAAACAAATGCAAATGGAAAGAATCCAAGTCAAAATTATATAACAAAACAGCACTCCATCACAAAAGCGTGTAAAATTACAAGAACGCTATTTTAAAACACTGGCACTTTAAGAGAACGATAATCTCAAAAAACCACAAAATTGCCAAATTGTTCCCTAAACTGCTAAGTAGATAAACATGACTCTAATGAATGAGTTAGGGTTTTGTAAAGAAAAATCAAATTCAAATCAGATAACTCATACTGAAATACAAAGTTTTAAGTGTCTTCTTCCCTTAGGTCTATTTGACTTTTATAAAGGAGCAAACTATAATATAGGAAAATATACCTGATTTTAAATGTGGCATACATTTTAGAAGTTGGCCCAATTAATTAAAAATACCTTTAATGGAAAGTCAAGTTTCCTAAGAAATCCATATTCAGATAAATAGGAGAAGACATTTACAGCCAGCACGTTTTTCCAGAGCCTTTGCTGGGACTAATGTCAACAAAAAATTTAATATGGCAGTCTTGTATTTTAAGCTCACGCTTTTGGGGATACATTCTCAGGTCTTCTTTAATGTGGGAACTGCAAATATAACTGCCATTACATGGTAATGGGAGTTAAAAGAATGTAGAGTCCTCATGTAAAGATTAGAACATACTTTTCTCTTAGTCCTTCAAGGACAGACTTTTCAAAATGTTTGATTCTACTAATCCCATGCTGTGAATAGACTGGTTACTCTTCACTTTATAAATGTGACTGGGCTATGTGTGATCTGATATTAATCGATCAAGATTTGAGTTTCAGTTATGGATGAAAACTGTCTCAATTCAACTTTTATTACCCTCATCATGAGTATGCAGGGTGCAGACAAAAGCTTTTTATCAGCTAACTATATGAAAAGATAAACACTGTAATAATCCATGTGATCCAAAATGGGCAAAAGCAAAAGACTAGCTTCCCCTCAAGAAGAAAAATTCCAGACCTATGAAAAGGACAACAATACTAATAAAAAAAATTGTATTTACTTAGAAGCATTCAGAATGTCAACAAAACAGCTGCAACTTTTTTTTTTTTTTTGCAATTACAGAGTGGTATTCAGTTAACAGAACAACAATTATTTCGTAGAAGCTGCATCAGAGACAACTGAAGATGAAAAACTACCATCCCCATATATAACTAATTTGTGCTGTGCACCAACAAGAACCTGCTTTAAATTTCCATGCCAATTTACAACCCCCATACTGTACCAGGCAAGGTTAGTGGCTATTGAAAATACCACCAGGACAGGGCTATCTAAAGACACATTCGGTAGTGTGTTAACTATACAAAAAAAGACACTGTACAGTTTAAAAACAAATCTTACACAGCCTTACATTTCAATTTTTTTCTTTAAAAGGAGTGAGTTGTGTACAGGGGGGTTAAATGCTTTATAGACAAGAAAAAAAAACTGCGCTAGAACCAACTTATTCATCATCATCATCTTCTTCTTCATCTTCATCTTCTTCATCTTCCTCCTCCTCCTCATCCTCTTCATCTTCCTCATCTTCCTCCTCTTCCTTCTTTTTCTTGCTCTTTTCAGCCTTGACAACTCCCTTTTTTGCCGCATCAGGCTTTCCTTTAGCTCGGTATGCAGCAATATCCTTCCAAAACAACGGCAGGAGAAAGTGGAAGGAAAGACAAAACAGTTAAGTAAAGGGAGAAATAAAAGTAACACTGAACTTGACCAAAACTTGATGAAAACATCAAGATCCCAATTACACGAAAATACCACGTATCTATAGACTCACCCTGACTCCATAAATGACTGAAGGATGCATATAAAAACACTAGGAGATAACTGCAATTAATAATCCATAACTTACAGAATAACATGGTCTAATATTTGCAATGTTATGCCTCACTGAAGTACAATTATGTACCACATCCTAACTTTAGTTTATTAAAACTAGAATGTAGAGACTTTGATTAAAGGGTAGACACTGCCACCTTCTGAATGCAAAACAGCATTCTACAGGTTTATCCCAGACCCTAATCCATAGTAGAAAATTTTGTCTTAAAAAAAAAAAAAAAAAAAAGGGTAATTTGCCAGTAAGCGTGCAATTAGGTTAAGAAAAATCTAGAAACCAACATTTTTCCAGATGCCTAAATAAGCTAAAATTCAACTTAATATTCCAATTCAAAGTATAGGAGCCACAGCTTTTTCTTTATCAACTTACGCAGATCAACAGACTTAGAACTTTTTTTTTTTTAACGAAGTTGGGATTTTCTTCTTTGGTTATCTAAGGAGTCAACATAAATGTTTCAGGGTACGTTTAAGAAGGATATAGTCTTTATTACTTTGCCCAGACTATTTTTATAACGTGTGTCTGATCATTTAAAGTAAGTAATCATTTGACTCAAAGTGACTACCAAAATTCTCGCAAATTTGGAGGTATTAGAGAATAACAAAACCAGCTTAAGTGTATGGCCCTGCACCCAAGTTAAAAAAAAATTAACAATTTATTTGATCTTCTATACTCTTTGAATGATGGAAAAGAATTAAGACTATAGCCAGCCAATGGCACACTGAATGTAGCTGTTAATCTAAAAACTGCATTAAACCCCAAACTCTTAGAAAACCACAAGAAAATAGGAAACTGAGATGAGGTACCAAGTATAATCTAACATCTGGCATACCCTTTCATCATTACACTGAGCAAATCCATACTTCTTACCTTTTCATATTTTTCCTTCAGCTTAGCAGCCTTCTTTTCATAAGGCTGCTTGTCATCTGCAGCAGTGTTATTCCACATCTCTCCCAGTTTCTTTGCAACATCACCAATGGATAGGCCGGGATGTTCTCCTTTGATTTTTGGGCGATACTCAGAACAAAACAAGAAAAAGGCCGAACTAAAAAGACAAATTTAATTTTAGGATTTTAAGTTTACTATCAAATGTGTATTGTACTGTTTATATAAAAGAGCCACCTCTAATTTCTACCAGATACTGGACAGGGTACAGATGTTATATGCTAAATATCCTTCATAACCAAAGCTTAACTTACAGCTATTTAACTTATGGTACTACTAGTTGAAGATGTACTACTGCTAAAGGCTAGAGGTCCAAAAACAATTCTGCAAATCACTCTTAAGTATTTCAGATTGTTGGTATTTCTCAAAGTTACATTTAGGAGATATATTAAGTGAAGGAGGCAAGTGTCTAATACAAATGCTCTGGTTAAGCCTCCCATTTAATAGGAATTTTACTTACAATATTCAAATATACCAATGTGAGCCACTTACCAGCTAAGAAACTTTGATCATACACTCCAAACCTACAAGGTAGCTTGCTAAACTTCTATCTGATCCTACTGCAAAACCCTCCTTGAAAATAAAAACAGGCAAGATACTTACGGAGGCCTCTTGGGTGCATTGGGATCCTTGAACTTCTTTTTTGTTTCCCCTTTAGGGGGGATATAAGTTTTCATTTCTCTTTCATAACGGGCCTTGTCCGCCTTTGCCATGTCTTCAAATTTTCCTTTCTCTTTAGCAGACATGGTCTACAAAAGAATTATTTGTAAACTTAAGTCGATAATGAATTTTAATAAATTGTCCTCAAAGTATTAAAATGACTAAAATAAGTATCCTTTGCTATTTATTCAGCAGCCTGTTCTAACATCACCACTCATGTTATACAAATGGCACCTAGGCTTTTTTAAAATCTTAATTTGGATTTAACTTTTAAAAAATTACCTCCTTAGTATGTTTCAAGCCCCCTTACCTTCCACCTTTCTGAGCACTTCTTAGAAAACTCTGAGAAGTTGACTGAAGCATCTGGGTGCTTCTTCTTATGCTCCTCTCGGCAAGTTTGCACAAAGAATGCATATGATGACATTTTGCCTCTCGGCTTCTTAGGATCTCCTTTGCCCATGTTTAATTATTTTCTAAAAACAGATAAAGTGAATGTTTGATGTTAGCAATGAAATTATAGCACTTTAATTTCATGGGGAGTGAATGAAAACCTCAGTACGGGTTATTTAACGGTAGTGACATTAACCTCCTATAATATTAAACAAGAAAACGGCAGGGATAGCCAATTCCTAGAAGAGGCTATGCCAAGCAAAAAAAACCCAAAAAAACAAAAAAAGAAAACCCCAAACGGTCCTTCAGTGAGCTCAAAAAAGTATGGACACGATGGTATCCTCGTACAGTATTCGTTACTCATCTGCCTGTATCTGCTCTGAACGAATACCTCATTTAAAAACTTTTTAAATGTACAAAACCATTTTAAATCAACAAAACCAAAGACCACAAAACTAATGCTGCCGATTGGTGGATCTGCACCACCTAAGGAATAAATAGGTAAGAGCCCACGTGAGTAGACTTCTTCCAAATTATGGGCCTAAATCACCGTCTACCTGAAGGTTTCCCAATGAGGACTTTAAAAATACTCTCTCTGCACAAAACTTTGCTGGGAGGAGGGAGGAGTAGAAAGCTCCAGCGCTCGGACCCAGGCTGGGGGTGGCGGTGGTATTTGTACGGCTGCCACCGCGAGGCAGCCTCGTTTCCTATCGGTTTGGCCCCGAGATGTATTTCAGTTCTGACTAAACACGTCCGGTCTGAAGTTTCTTCGAGTAAACAAGGATGAGGGACAAAAGCCACTCCTGCTCGTTGCTCTGCCTGCCCCCCCCAAGCAGGGGAGTATTTTTTTTTTAATGTGTGGAAGTCGGGGCGCCGCGCGAGGCGGGCTCCGCACACCTTCCCGCCACTCGGCCCCCACCCCCAGAACTTCGGTGGCGGCGGAGCAGCGGAGGCAACGCGGGGCCGCGGCCCGGCCTCCAGGCCCGGCCCGCCCGCGCCGCCACGTGCGCCCGCCCGCCCGCCCGCCGGCGCAGGCCCCGCAGGCCTCCCCCATTTTGTCAGCTCGGCGGAGGGAGAAGCCCCGCTCGAAATGGGGGCTGGCTCCGCCCGCGGCCGCCGGGGCCGGCGCGCACGGAATGGCCGCTGCGCGTCTTCCCCGCCTGCGCCGCCGCCGCCGCGAGGGCGAGCGCGAGCGAGAATATGGCTCCTTCCCTTTGTGTGTATGTGTGTGTGTGTGTGTGAGAGTGTGCGAGTGTGAGCGCAGGCGGGCGGGGTGCGCGCCGCGCTCTGGCGCACACACTCGGCCATTACAGCCGGGGGGGGAGGGGCGGGGGGCGCGCGGACCCGGACCCTCCCCCTCCTGACCCGCGGGGGAGGGGGCCGCCCCGGGAGGCGCCCACCGGCCCGCCGCTCCCCGTCCCCCTCCGCGCGGGACCGCGCGCCCCGGCCGCCCCCGCACGGAGAACGCGGGGCTGGGAAGAGAGGAAAAAAAAAGTTGCCTCGGAACTGCTGCGCCCAGCTCCCCCGCCCGCTCCCGCCCGCCTTGTTTTCTCTCCAGCCAGCAGCGCCGGGCCGAGTCAGCCATGTTCCAGCGAGCGCAGCGGCGCCGCTCCCCCCGCCGCCGAGCCGCCGCCGCCGCCGCCGCCGCCGCCGCCGCGCCCGGGCACAGGCCGGCGGGCCCGGCCCCGCGCCGCCACCCCCGGCCCACCGCGCCGCCTCGCCCGCAGCGCCCGCCCGCCCGCCCGCGCTCGCTCGCCGCCGGCGCCCGGCTCTCTGCGGCGGCCAATGCAGCCCGTGGAAGCGCCGCCGCCGGCCCGCCTGCCCGCCCGCCCGCCTGCCCTCCCGCCGCCGGCCCCGCCGCCCGCCGCCCCCCGCGCACGCCGGCAGCCCGAACACTCGGCCCGGGGGCCGAAAACACGTTAAAAAATTTTTTTTAATTAAAAAAATTTTTTTTTGCGCCAGTCAGCGCGGACGCCGCCGGGGGTGGAAACTCGCGGGGCTCGGGGTTCGCAGCGCCTCAGGCAGCCTGTGGGCCGGGGTTCCGGCGCGGGGCAGGGCTCCCGGCGCCCGAGAAGAGGCTCGCTCCGTGCGCAGTTCCCCCCACGGTCCCCCCTCATTTGCCTTTGTGTGGATCCTGACCCGCCGGCTCCCGGCCGCGGGGATCCGGCCACCGCGCGGGGTGGAGAGCTGCCGGAGGCGCTCTCCCCGCCGCGGCGCTGCCCCAGACTCACCCTCAGCGAGGCACAGAGTCGCCCAGTGCCCGTCTGGCTCTCACTTGCCCCGGCGCTGTCTCTATGGAGCTCAATGTACTGCAATGGCTGTGAGAGCGGGAGCCAGACGCAGCCTCCTCACTCTCTCCGCTCTGTAACATTACTCTCCAGCCAGCGCGGCTCCTATTGGCTACCGCCAACTCACGGGGCTCGCTCATTGGCCCGATACCTCCCATTGTCCTGACCAGAGCCCGTTTGCTATTGGCTGTCTCCGGGGACACGTCATCAAGGATTGAAACAGCGCGCAAATCTGAATGTGTGTGTATGCCGGGCAAAGAGGCTGAGGCGGGAGAGGCAGAGGCAGAGGCAGCAGCTGCTACGGCAAAGCAGAGCTCTATGGTGTATGTGTGCATGTGTCTAACCCAAGCCAGCCCCACACCGGAGCGGCCGCCGGAGCGAAAAGGGCCTGACTTTTCCACAAGTGTCTCCAACTCCTCAGGCAAAAGAGACACTCACAGGCCTCCCCCCCCCTTCTTGCCCCAAACTCACTTCCAAAGCCACTGAGATAAGAGGCCCCAGAATTTTAACAGACCTTCAAAAGTGAGGGCGACAGTATGAGATCACGTCCCCTGAAAATTGGGGTGTCGGCTAGTGCAGGGGGGCGAAGGCAGCCAAGATTCGAGCCCCTCAACAGCATATGGTTGCATTACACTTTAGATCTCTGGAAAGGCAGGGCTTTCCCTATAACAAAGTGACATGATCCAGTCAGCCGGTTTTAAAATACCCCTTTTCTGGGCTCATAAGCTGTAACGTCAAGCTTGCTGAGCAGCTGAAATCTTGACTCACTGTACAGGCATTCAGTTTCACTCTTTTTCTTGGTTTGATCGAGTTTCACAGCATGTCTAGAACTTTTTATTTAAATACAAAGCACTGTCTTAACTTCCTGGAAATCAAATAATTATTCCATGTAATTAAAGCACAGCTACTTCGTCTCGATATGGGGTACTCTAGCAGGAAATGTTTGTGAGGGCCTGCTAGAATTAGCAAATTCATTAGAGACCACATTTTTAACTGTTTGGCTATTTTATTTGACTGGGTGTGGATTACTGTTATAATCAAACGAATCCTTGTGATGCTATCTTTCCCTCCCATCACACCACTTACTGCATCCATGTAACTGCTCTAGGATTACAGCAGTTGTAGGTATATTGTTACCCGGAGGATTAGATGCAGGCAGAGAGTGCATATGCCCAAATCCACAGGCTGTGGTTTCTCTAACTCACCAAGCTGGCCGGTATTAATAGACATACTTATTATGTCTGAAAAGAAAAGGTACTAGCTATAATGGCCAGTTCTGAAGACTATAGCTCTATCAGTCTTCTATGAAACTATTATCTATTCCTCCTTAGCCTAAGCAGACCACACCCCTATTCAGTTATAACAGACTTCCCCTTTTTCACTCTCTAATGGTGTGTTTATACACTTCTAAATCCACCAGCCAATTCCTCCCAATGTAATAGATCAAAGTTAAAATAAATCATTTTATTATGTTAATTTCATTTCTTATATCCACTCAAAGCATCCATAACCAAATGTATTTGCTCCCATTTATTAAGCTGTTTGAGAATAGGCTTAGATAACCTTTCCTGACCAATGGTTTTAATGCTTACTCCTTTTTAAAAAAAATACATGACTAGCCTCAGGGATTATAGCCTCGTTGAATGGATAGTACATGACACCTGCATGTGAAACTGAGTATAATATTAAAGAATATATAAACTAGTATAATGTACATGCAGTATTTAAAAAGTAAACATCTAAAGGTAACTTTTATATTGTTATTTTCACACATATTTACTCTTGTCTACTTTCTCTATGAATCAAATTTTGCGCTCTATTCAAATCTAGACATTGACTTCAATTCTGCTTTACAGTCTCAGTGCCTATATCGCAAAATATTCGTAAAAATTTTTGGCATTTTAAATGGCATCCACAATATCAAAATTTGACTATTATTTGAAGACAGCACCATCAGTATTTTTCAGGAGCAATGTTGGATTTGCACTGTCCCAACCACACACTTTTACCAGTTTTCTATAACAGCTTCCTCCTACCAGGCTAAGTTCACGGTCACAGAACCATGGGAAAGCAATGGACCCACACAGGTTTCTATTTAAGCAGAATGGTATGGTGAGTAATAGGCACTAGATTTAAATAGACCTGAGTTCAAATCCCAGCTCTGCTTCTTAGCTGTATAATCTTAGGTTTTTTAACCAAGTCTCTCAGCTATAAAATGGAAGTGATCACAGGGTTGTTGTAAAGATTAAACTTTTTTTTCAAAGGTTTCAAATTATGTCATGCTGATCCCTTCAAACCCATGACTTAGAAAACATCAAGTGTGGGGCACCTGGGTAGCTCAGATCCTTAAGGGTCTGCCTTCGGCTCAGGTCATGATCCCAGGGTCCTGGGATCGAGTCCTACATCGGGCTCCTGGCTCAGCGAGGAGCCTGCTTCTCCCTCTCCCTCTGCCTCTCTCCCTGCTCATGCTTTCTCTCTCTCTATCTCTGTGTCTCAAATGAATAAATAAAATCTTAAAAAAAAAAAAAAGAAAACATCAAGTGCAATTAAACTCGAGTGTTTCTTGATTATTTTAATTTTATATGAGGGCAGTGGTTGCAAATCTAATTAAGTTTTTTTTTTTTAATCCTAGACTCAAAGAACACTAATTTTCATCCATGCCTTTATATATTCCCAAGTATAACAGAGGCCATGTCGGAGAGAAGAAAATAAAAAGCTCCATTTATAGGCACAGCATGTCTCATATTTGTTTTTCTGTGATTTAGGCAGGGAAAAGCATAAAAAGGAAGGAAACTTTTAAATAAACCTTACAAACTTCTAGCTCTAGTTCTGCAACCTTGATGTTCACTTATTCATGATGTTAGACCCCTTCCTTCTTCAACATGAGTCGCTGGCCAGAAATTGGCATATATTTTACTTTAGGGTTATTGGGTATTTTATTCTAAATTACAAAGATAACTAATTCAAAAAGCCTGAACATTCTCTCCCTACCTGATTTAGCTAACTGAATTACAGATTTTCATTAATATAGTTTACACCCAACCTGAAGCCTGCCTCGATCTCCTCTAGGATAGGTGAAATGCTTCTCTTCTGTGATCCCATAATAATCTGTACATTAATTACCATGCTCACAACTGTACTTATCCAGTTATGTGTCTGCTCGTCCTACGGCACGGCATCCCTTAAAGGCAGCAACCCTAGCTTATCTTTGAACCCAAGCACCCAGCAGGGTGCCTGGTATCTAGCAAGCACTAAATAAAGGCTGTTGAATAAATGAATTAACAGCTGAAAGAGTACTTACTGCAAATTATTGTTTTAATCTTCCTCTTCCATCTTTGGAGATAAGCATTTGGGTCTCTCTAAATCAGAAGGCAGGAAAATAGAATAATAAGTAGTAAGTAAATGTTAGGATACTAAGTTGAGGATAGATGCCAATTGCATCTCATTCCTATAACTTAAAAAGGGGAAGATGGGGTTGAGGGGCTGGAGGGGATCTTGAATTTAGACAAACACATACATTTTTAGCATTTAGCAGTTTCCAACTAGGCCAAGGTTATTCCTTGTTGGATACAGTGAACTATGGCAAGACAAATAAGAATTTATCACAGAAAACTGCAGGAATGTCTACCCAAAGGGTGCTTCTAACAGACCTTTGAAACTTAACACTAATGTAAAAAAATAGAAAATGCAGACGGGGCTGTTAAGTCTTTGGCTGAAGGATACTGATTCCTCCCCAATGCAATGAGTCCTAAAGTCAAGCTATGTGAATTCTCTTGTCTCTCCTTCTCAAAAAGGGCCAGGTTCTGAAAAGGAGCAGAAACACTAAACCAAATTGTCTGATGAGGTCAACCATACTAGGGATCATACATACTTAAAACTTTTTTTTTTTTCTTTTCCCCAAGTGTGCTGAGAATGAAGGAGAGAGGAATTCAGGAAAAGAAAAGACAGGTTTGTGAAGTCTGGACTACAACCTGGAACACTGAGTTCCAAACCTCCCAATCCCCCACACAGGGACTTCTGGATAGCCCCTAAGGTCTGTGCTCCGTTTCCCCAACTCTTACTTAGGACTAGCGATACCTTATCTAACTTGAAAGGGTGGTACAGGATAGGCACAAAGCAAGACCACAGGTGGAGGGCAGAGAGGTGGTGTTACATTTGTCAGTGTGCGGAGAAGGGGAACCTGGTCCGGAGTGCTTAAGTACTTATGCCCCCAGTCTGAGTTTTGTCTGAATGTGGCTTGCAGATGGGCAAACAGTGGCTTCAGCTGGGGGCTGCACTGAGGGCCGAGGCAGAGAAAACAGTCCCGAAGCTGATGTATACCAATAATATCTCTAGAATTGGAATATTCCACTGGTGAATAGGGAAGAGATATCATACCTTTTCTTAATAAGATGCCTGTCCTCTGCCTAGTAAAATAATGGTATACCTGGGGAAGGGAAAATTTATTAGTAAAACTTTATATAAAACGATGATCTAAATTCAAAAAATATCACTATTAGGGGTCTTGATCTCAAGAACCACATCAACAGACCAAATTCAGCTGCTGTATTGAAAGTGCTATAAACCTTAAGAATAAATGTTTTAGCACACCTACCAGAGACGGCTACAAGCAAAAAGAGGGACGAAAGCAAGTGTGGGTGAGGATGTGGGGAAACTGGAAATGTCATACACGGCTGTGAGCGTGTAAAATGGGGCAGCTGCTTCGGAAATCAGTCTGACAGTCCTTCCAAAGGTTAAACATAGAATTACCATATGACCCCGCAATTCCCACTCCTAGGTATGTATCCAAGAGAAACAAAAACGTGTCCACACAAAAACCCGCACATGAATGTCCATAGCAGCCTTATTTGTAATAGTCAAAAAGTGGAAACAACCCAAATGCCCCTCAACTGATGAGGGGATAAATGAAATGTGGCAATCTATACGGCTGGGTATTATCGGCGACAGAGGGGAAGGAAGGACTGATTCTTGCTACAACATGGATGAAACTTGGAAACATGAGGCTAAGTGAAAAAAGCCAGTGACAAAAGGCCACATATTGTAGGACTCAATTCACATGAAATGTCCAGAATGCAGAAATTTATAAAGATAGGAAGTAGTTTAGTGGTAGCCAGGAGTTGGGAGGTGAAGGGAAGGGGAGTGACTGCTAATGGTTATGGGGACAAAAATGTTCTGAAATCACATTATAGTAATGGTTGCATAACCCGGTGAATATACCAAAAATCACTGAATTGTGAGTTATAGCTCAAGAAAGCTATTTTTTTAAAAAAGGAATAAATGTTTTAGGAGTGGTTTTGGTTAACTAACAAACAGAGAAGGGGATGACAGAACACTACCTACTAGCTAATTTTGTCCAGTCCTTTCCTCCTGCTGCCCCCGTTATTGAACACCTTGTGAAAATGGTGGCTTTCCTCTTCAGTAGGTGGAAATTTCATCTATTATTGGAGTTAACAGATTATGTGCTTACCGTGTATTTTTGCTACAAAATAATGTTAAGAGCACTTCCCAGGGGTACCTTGGGAGGTTTTTCTTGAGAGCCCGGGGTGACTGCAATAAGCCAGCTGAACCATAAAAGTTAGGTCGGAGTGCAAACTGGCAGGCCTCTGGCCTTATCTGATGCACCGATGTTTCATTCGGCCAACACAGTGTTTTTAAAAGTTGGATTTTTTCCACATTAAAGAAATCCAGATATTTGGCTTCTTTTGAAAAATCAGAGATCTGATAAGCTTGTATCCACACTTCGATAGGGTGACAATCTTGCAGCATGAATCATGGCTGCCTCCCTCAAAGGGGGTTTTTGTCCTATAGTTGGGCCACAATCCCAACACCATTGCCTAAGCTTTCTACTTGACTTCTCACCCACTCATGCTACCTGCCTGGCCCATCTACAGGGCTAGACACTTGAGCTTGCAAGTCCCGAGTTGGGTCCTTATTATTTTATGGCTATGAGCTGCGATTCTGAAATTTTCTTGATCAGAGATTCCTTTCATAGAAACACTTACTATCACGACAGGGAACACAGAGAGCAGGAAACTGAAGCAGAGGGGTCCCTTGGGTGAGAAACAGAACCATTTTGGGGGACGTCATAGGTAGCATGTACTCTTGCTGAGGAATGAGGAGTCTGACTGTGCTGCAGAGGATGAGGTCTTATAGCCCAGACGAAAGACTAGAGAAATAAGCTTTATTTATCACATGTCTCCTATGTGCTGAGCACCATACATAGATCATTTCATTTAATCCTCCACAGTGATCCTACAGGTCAAGATGCTTATTGGTTTTTTATAAATCATGACAAGGAGGCTCAGAGAGATCCCTTAAGTTGCCTAAGGTCACACAGCTAAGTGAGAAAGCGACAATATTGACCCAGTTCTGACCCCAAAGCTAAAGATTTCTCCATTAAGCCCCATGACCTTCCAGTTATTAGCTTAGCTAATAAAATTTTTAAAAAGATCACATTTTCCCATCCAGGTATACCTCATAACCTCATGGGAATCCTGACTTGGGTTTACAGCCTTGGCTTTCAAGGCTTTTGGATAGGACCAATACAATTTGTATATACAACATCTGAGAAAAGGTTTCACGAGACAATACCTACCACTACTGTGGTAGAGACTGCCTTTTTTCCTAAAATCCTAAATTTACTTCCCGGCCCACCAATGGGCCCCACAGTTTGTAAAACACTGCATTAGAGCTATAGTAAATGAGCCCCGTTTCCCATCAAGGGTACCAGCCACTCTAGATGCCAAGTGCAGGTACTGCAGGCTGACTGAACAGGACTGAAGAGAGGGGCAGATCGGGAGATGTGCTCAGCATCCATGACCTGCAGCCAGAGCCCCCCCAGAGCAGCAAACGAGTTTGGCGCCAAGACTGTGGGACTGTCCCAAGCCCAGAGAAAGACTCTGGAGACAGGAAAGGGGAGTACTTTGCTCTGCCAGGGAGACCCAAGACAAAAATTAGTGCTCAGGCCAGAGGCCTCTGGGAAATGCAAAGAAGATCCCTGCACATCACCAAGGCCTAGAACAGCCATCCTAGCAGCCCTGATAAATATCATCCTCACCTGGGTGAGATTCCCCACCTTGGATTTGCCTCTAATGAAAGTCAGAGGCCAGAAGAAGCACAGGAGTCCCTCTGCCAATCAGGAGCTGGACTGGTTGGAAAGATGGTCTCATCTCCCTAGCCAGGTACCAGGCCTTTTTGTTTAAAAACCACTGAGTGCCCAGAGTGGCTTGTGGGGCTAAATAGCAGGTGATTGCTGACCCATACCTGTTGCTCATGAAGATGTTAATTAAAAAAAAAAAAAAAAAAATCAACGACAAAAATACATGTATGCTTTTTCTGAAAGGTTGCTGTTAATCTTTGTTCTAAGGTTTTCTTTTGCCTTGCAAGAATGGGAATAAGGAAGTAGGAAGGAGATAACCGGATTTAGCATATCCTAACATCAGTACTACCAGCAAATTGATCCCACACTCAGAAATGGAACTGATTTGGAAACATTCATGGTATTTGACCAGTGATTTCACTTCTAGGAAATATTTAGAAAACAATCAGAAAGAAGTAAAAAGCACAAAGGTCTAACAATATTAACTGCAGCATTATCTACAATGTGGAAACAACCTACATACCCAATGACAGGGGTTTGGTGAAATAAATTCTGGTCCACCCTTATGACAGATTACCATGGTGCTACTATCCAGTTGTTATGAATACTAAATTCAATGCCATGGAGAAAGATTCATAATATCTTACGAAGGATCCCTGGTTTGGAAAAAAGTGTATATGTAAATCCAAAAAAGAATGGAAGGATATACTAAAAAATGGTAATAGTGTTTATTTCTGGTGAAAGGTTATCTTTGTTTTCTCCTTACACCCTTCAGTATTTCCCCAGTTTTCTACAATCAATTTATCTATCTTCTGTAATTAGAAATAAAAGCCCCAGTTTGTTAAAAGAGGAAATTTGCTAATAAAGGACTCAAAGATTCGATCATTTTGAAAAATTCAGACCTCGTTACTCTAGAAACTTTTCCCTATAAGGAAATATACTATATATATATATATATATAGTATGCTGTACTATATATACGTAAGTCAAGCACATTTATCATAGGCCTGAAGTAAAGGCATCTCCATTGTTATCAACAAGTGACCATCCTGATAACACAAATCAGAATTAGGTAACTGCTGGAAAGAAAAGAATCAGCATCTACTTGAAACAGATTTTACCTCTCGTCTCTACTGATGTGTCTTCTTTAGTGGATATTCCTTCTTTCCCCATAATTCAGTTTCCAGTCGGCTTTTTGCTTCTCTGCTCTCTTAGCGACCTAGGCGACTGCACGTTGAGTCTTAACCTCCGTCTCTACATAAATGACCCTAAACTTCCCTTTCAGCCTTAGGCTCTCTCCTGGACCCCACCACTCACCAGTTTCTCAAGTTCACCTGCCTCCTTGCTAGAGCATGCCTCTTTCCAATTTCCCCACTCACTCCGACGTCCCACACTGGCTCCAATTCTAGGAGTCTGAGATTGCCCCCTTCTAGCTCTTTCCTCACATTAAATTCTATAACATCTATGTCACAATACTTTGAATCATTTCTTTTTTTTTTTTTTTTCATTTCTATTGGCCTCAACTCTAGTTCTGGCATTAGCTATTTTGTGGTTCAGAGAGGAGAGTTTGGAACCAGACCCCGTATTTTAAAATCCTGGCCCTTGGGGCGCCTGGGTGGCTCAGTTGGTTAAGCTACTGCCTTCGGCTCAGGTCATGATCCTGGAGTCCCTGGATCGAGTCCTGCATCGGGCTCCCTGCTCGGCAGGGAGTCTGCTTCTCCCTCTGACCCTCCCCCCTCTCATGTGCTCTCTCTCATTCTCTCTCTCTCTCAAATAAATAAATAAAATCTTTAAAATCCTGGCCCTGGCACTAACTAGCTGCGTCACCTTGGACCAAGTGAATCAACCTCTCTGAGCCTCAACTGCTCCTATAAAATGGATAATACTCCCCTTTGAGGGGAGTTGAGTTTAAATGAGCTCATATACAGAAAGAGCTGAGCCTAGTATGTAAATTGCTTAAAACACTGTAGATGATCAACAGATGTTGGCTGTTTATTTTATAGATCATTTTAAAAACTGGTATTATTAGTATTTTCCCAATGCATAAAACTCCACTGCTTAAAAACTTTCCACTTAATTACAACGTTTTCGTCCAAATTAACTCCACAATCCTCACCTGGCCTTCAGGGCCCTCCCTATTAAGGCACATTTCTCTCTGCTTCCCCTTCTACTGCTCGCCTATTTTCCAATCCACCTGGACCTTGTACTCTCCTACCTTCGAGCTTCTGGTTGTTTCTTTTGCTGGTAGTGTCCTTCCCCCACCTCTACTGCTACAATCCAACCTGTCCTTTAAAACCTTCCCAACCTTTTGTAAATCTCAACTTGGT